TAAAATTAAATTAAATATATATTCATAAAAAATTAACAATTTACTTTTACTTCCCCATCCCCTTATTACTCTTCCCATATACCCTAGCTTTGCTATGCTGGTGGTGTTTTGTTCATCCCAGGTTCCTGTCACATTTTAGGGACACATTGACACCTCCAGCACAAGGAAACATGGAAGCAGTTAAGGTGGCAGAGTGGCCCTCTGACCTCGATCTGTTTGGATAAGATGTTAAGATTTCCCAAGGTCAGCAGGTCTCCTGTGTAGTGTTTCTGGGCCTGGCTTTGTCTGACCCTCAGACCCTAGAGGCTCACTACCCCGAGCCGGAGTGGCAGCATATTGAAACGATGCTTAATGCGTTTATTTATTTTTACAGTTATTAACTATTTACTATAGTCACAAAGTCACAAGGATTCTGAGCTGGGGCTGGGAACGTGCTTATGGCCAATTGGTGTTTTTTTTTTTTTTAATTCTCTCTTTTTGGTAGAAAATTATAACTAGTTATAGAAGAATTGACAGGCGGCTTTATTATTTTACTGTAACATTAATAGACATGGTTTCAAAAGCAGATCTGGGATTTGAGTTCAGGCTGGTTTAGGCATAACGAGAAAATGCTCTTTTAATTAGTAAATGTGGGAGTCAGACGTTAGTTCTCTTTTTGTAGGATTTTAGTGGAAACATTTTTATAATATAAAATATTGTTATATTAAATGATTGTACTGTTACTTGTGTGGCCAGCATTTGCTTGTTTTTTTCTATTGTACCCTCTCTCACTAATTGTGCTACTTACACAAAATACATATTAACTAGAGGATCAGAAAAAACCATATTTAAAAAATAAATAAAATTGTTATTAAAAAATTTAATAGAATAAAAAATGAGCTAGGACATTAAACAGACAAATTTGTATTGTCTCACCAATAGTATTATAGAATCTTCTACACTAAGCTAACCCTCCTGGAAGGAAGGACAACATGTGAGCGAGTTGTAAGCAGTGCCTTTCAGCTCTTGCCATCAAGTACTTTCAACAAGTCATGTTTTTTAAATTTTCTTAAATTTACATACTGTATATAATTGAATCCCTGTTACTTTATCAGTAGTTGGCATCACCATTCCAAACACTGGGAGGGGGGTGAACCTTGCTTTTAGAGAGCTCTTGGTCTGCTTGGTTCAACTAACAAGATGATGTCCCGTGAGTTGCCATGTCTGCCACCCTGACCTCTTCCCCAACGTAAATAGAAAAATATGCTTTTCCTTCATAATCTCAATTTTGGATAACCTGAGACAATTTAATTAGTTGGTATTTTAGATACATTTAAAATTCTGCTAAACTTACGAGTTAAACCTTAAAATGCATTCAAGTATTTAATTATTAACAAAAATGGTTCTTATTTGTGTATCACTCGGCTCAAATCATCTCTGAATTGGTGCTGACACTGTCCTTCCTTCTGGAGGGTGACTACTTTTGTTCCCCATGGTCCGTGTGTGTGTTGTAAAGTAGTCACCGCTCCAAGCTCACTTCTGTGATGGACTACAATCTCATGATTAGTTTACAAATTTGTATTGAGATTGTAGTCCATCCTGAGAGCGAGCTTGTAGTGGTGACTACTTTACAACACACACAGGGACCATGGGGAGCAAAAGTAGCCCCCTCCAGAAGGAAGGAGTGATACGCAAATAAGATAAATTTTTGTTAATAGATAAGGTACTTGCATTTTAAGGTTTAACACCTGAGTAACTTCACTTGTTAACGTCTATGTTTTAGAAAGTATGTGGGAAAAGCAGGAGTCAACCATTCTCTCAAAGGCCCGGGTGGCCAGTATGGGTTGGTGATGGCATGTTACAATACATCCTTCTTCCTGTCTAACATCTCTCTATCCACAGGTTGTCCTCTCCACCACGGTGAACGTAGACGGACATGTCCTGGCCGTGTCAGACAACATGTTCGTTCACAACAACTCAAAACACGGGAGGCGGGCAAGGCGGCTGGACCCTACGGAAGGTACGGACGCTTGTCTGGAGTACGGTACGACCTTCTCGTTCTTTATCTGTATTCAAAGACATCACTACAACTCAATTGACATATTTTAATCAGAGATGTGGAAAGTGGAGGTGTTCCCAGAGCAACCAGTTAGTTCATGCCTTTCGTTCTGCAACCAGCACTTGTATAACTGGAATGTTATTGGTTGGTTTGGACAGCACGGACATTTTTCACTTCCTCCATTTTGACAAAATATGCCTTTAGCTTTCAAACCACCCACTAGATGTTACTTTCTTTTCTTCTTATATAAAAGTTTCTTCTTAGTAAATCTTTAATGTAGTACATGAATATTATACACTGGAGCTGATGGAGTTTTATAGGATACATTGTACATTGGCGAATGCTTTAAATCATCTCAATAAGTAAAGACTGTTATTCTTTTAAAAAAAAGAAAATCAAAATATAAAATATTCAGCTCATTTTAAAATACATGAAATTAGTTAATTC